TGTGAAGCCCTTGCCGGCCGAGAAGAGAAGGGTTTCTTTCAGCCTGGCGTCCTGCTGGAGGTCCGGGTACTGCATGCCCGGCGGGTGGACGTGCAGTTCCTTTAACTTGGGCACCGTGCCGTAGAGGCAGTCCACGAAGCCCACCGTGCAGGGCGGCGGCGGCCGCTCTCTGTCTAGCCCGGCGCCGGCCGGCGGGAAGAGCAACACCCCGCCGTTCTTCTCGTGGGGGAAGCCGGGCGGGGCCGGCGCCAGCGCCAGCTCCCCCGCCAGCGCCAGCCCGCCGCCGCCGGCCGGGTGGTGGTGGTGCTGGTGGTTGGCGGCCACGATGGTGTTGAGCTGGGAGCTGGACACGGCCAGGCTCCACTCCTTCTCCTTCTCCAGCAAGGTCCGGTAGTGGGTGCTGTTCTCCTGGTGGCCGGGCTCGGCGAACGGATCCCCCGTCCCGCCTCCCCCCAGGCGCTCGCCGGCCTCGCCTCCGCCGCCGCCGCCCTCCTCCCGCTCCGCCTCCTCCTCGCGCGGCTTGTAGATGGGGTTGTTGCACATGTGGGTCACCGGGTGGGGGATGTAGTCGTAGACGTGCCCCGCCGGGTGGCCCTTCTCCGGCGAGGCGCCGCCGCCCGCCCCCCGGCCGCCCTCCTCGAAGAAGCGGTGGCACTGCATGTGGATGCCGCTCAGGTCCCCCGCCTCCGGCCGCTTGCTGCGGAAGGGCAGTTTCTTGCGCCGCCGGCGCAGCACGAAGGCGAAGAGCCCCGCGGCGATGAAGACGGCCGAGAAGAAGAGGACCAGCAGGCTGAGGATGAGCACGGAGAGCGGCACGGCGGCGGTGCCGGCCGGGGAGAGCTCGTAGGGCGAGGGGCTGGTGGGGCTGGGCTTGCCCCCGGGCGGGGCGGGCGAGGCGGCCGCGGCGTGCAGCAGCTCCGGGCACAGCGCCTCCAGCTCCACCGAGCGCACGTCCCGGCGGGTGAGGTTCTCCGGGCTGGCGCACAGCACGTCCCCCACCACGATGACCGAGCTGATGGTCTCGATCCACTGCTTGAGGGGCACCAGGTCGCAGGTGCAGTCCCAAGGGTTGAGCTTGAGGTCGATCTGCACGATGGCGTGGAGGTGCTCCAGCACCCCGGCCACGGGCAGGTAAAGGAAGTGGTTGTTCCTCAGGTTGAGCCTGGCCAGGGAGGTGCCCGCAAAGGCATCGGTGGGCAGGGTCCGCAGCAGGTTGTCGTTGAGGAAGAGCAGTTTCAGGTTGGGCATGAGGCTGAAGGCCGCGGGCTGGATCTCCCTGATCAGGTTGTACTCGAAGTACAAGTAATGCAAGCTCTGCAAGCCCCTGAACATGCCTGGAGTCAGCCTCTCGATGTCATTGCCGTTCAGGTACAGGCTTTTCAGGTTAGGCAGGTTAATAAAAGCCCCATCCTGCACGTAGGAGATACGGTTGTTCCCAAGGTGTAACAGATCCAAGGAAGAAAAATTCCAGAAATCCGAGCGGTAGATTTTCTGTATCAAATTGCCGCTCAGGTACAACTTCTTGGCGTTCAGGGGCCTGGGCAGAAGCTCGGAGATGTTGTGAAATCCTCTCTCCTTGCAATTGACCGTCAGGCCCAAGTCGTTGATGTGCAAACTACAAGAGCACCCAGTAGGGCATATGATGGGAATCGGGGGCCTTGTCTGGTAGGCAGCTATAGGAGGCTGGTTTGGCCCAGGATACAGGCCTCGGGATGTAGGGGGAGGTTTGGGCACTCTGGGCTGCTTGGTGGGTTTGGGCTGCTTATTGGATGTTTTGTATTCAACAGAGGAAGCAGTGAAATGGAAGGAGGATAGCATGGAAGAAGGCTTCGTAGGCCATGCGTTCTCCTTGCTAGATGACAACTGAGGAATCCCCAGACTGGCCTCGACTTCGGAGTCAGACAGCATGGGGCAGAGTTTACTCCTTTTGATTTCCCTCAGGTCCTTACCATGGAAGTGGAAGGGGGTCTCACAGGTTATGTCTCCCACAAGGGCAGTGTAAGGTATGCGCTCCAGCCAACTTTTCAGCTGCACAATCTCACAGGTACAGTTCCAAGGGTTCTCCTCCAGCTGGATTTCCATCAGGCTCCTGCCAATATGATCCAGCATCCCTCGATAGGAAAGGACTTTTAACCTGTTTCCCCGCAAGTCCAAATGAGTTAAAGACACAGATTTAAATAGGTTGGTGGGAAGCATGGGGATAAGGTTGTCATTTAAGATCAAGACTCTCAGTTTGCTCAGATTTCGAAATGCCCCACTTTCAATCCGTTTAATGACATTGTAATCTGCCTGCAGATATTCCAGACTTTCCAAACCCAGGAAAGTGTCGTTTCTGAAAATGTCTAATTTATTCTCGTGCAGGTACAATCGCTTCAGAACTTTGAGCCCAATGAAGGCTCCTGTCTGAATGTCCTGCAGTGCATTGTTCCCAAGGTTAATAGACACAGCATTGTTCAAATGAAGAAAACTGTTTGTGTATAATTTCCTCATGGAATTCCTCTGCAGATAAAGTTTAAAAGGTCTTGACCACGACTCCGTTATCTGACTAATATTTATAAATCCTTTATTGTCGCAATGTATATGGAAAAGGCTCTCTTTTACTTCACAGTAACATGGATCAAAGCAGGGCTCGTCAATTTCCTCTGAGTCCTCTATCAAGGGAATTGGTGTAGTCCATGCTAGAGCAATTGTGCTTAGAAGAATTACCCACAACATCCTTCCTTTATGAAGAGTCTCTGCTGTGGAAGGTTTCATCATTTGTGGCTGATTACAAAACTGTAACAGAAATAAGAATGCAGAATTTTAGTATTTAGTCAGGTCACTGTTCTTAATAAACTCCATTTTTGCTAGACTTTTATTAGGCTCCTGGAAAGTTCAGCAATTTTTGGGTAGACGTTCAAAACAAACTCTAGCAGTGCTTGATGTTCAAGGCTGGTTTCAGACTTAAGAGCTATAGAAATCTCTAATCATAAGATGCCATATTTTCCCTTCCCCTATGATATTTAGTAAATGGCATCTATAATGAAAACAGCATGCACATACCATATAGCAAATGAACATATAGACTGAGCGTATTACATATATACATATTTTTCACCACATGACCAGTGTTTAGAGAAACACTAATTTGCAGGCTTACCTGTGTGTACATCATAACCTGCATTAATTACAGGAGAAAATATCAGTGGGTATCTTTCACCAGCATCATGCTACATCCTTTAGATATACACATACACACACACACAAAAAACCCTCCCAAAGTTGCTAGATTGCAATGGTCCGATATCCAGTGCACCAGCTCAGTATATTCTATATGGAAGTTTGCAGGAATTTGCAGGGTTTGTAAATGTCCCTGATCTAACAGTTTCCTTTAGAAATTCTCACAGTGTCTTTAATAATGCTTAACAACCGTGATTTAAAATAAAACCTCCCACTTCCAGGTACACTGATGGATTAATGCTATTGGTATATTATCAGATAAATACATACTACATATTAGTCATTTTAGCTGATTAAAGCATTTAGAGATGATTAATCTTTCTAAAGCACATGCCCATGCGATCATCAGATCTAAGGCGAAGTGACAGCTAAAGAAGCATTTCGGATTGAAATGCTCAGCCTGGTTTGGATTATTATATTTTGCGCCCCCAGGACCAACCAAGAGACCCGGTTAAAAAGCTGAAAGTGGAAGAAAAATACCTTGACACCAGCTGATAAATTATCTATTGTACTGTCTACCTTTCAAAAAGAAGACACCATTCTTCTCCAGTCAAAGGAAACAAATACTGTACTAATGAGATGCAGCTCTCCAAGATACAGTTTCCCCCCTTCCTTTTGCCAGATATTTCAAACGTTTGGGGATAAATAAATGTTAATGATTATGATAATAATGGTGATGCAGCCCTTCTTGAGTCAGTGAAATACCAGTTGAAAATGTCCAGAGAGATCGTTGATTTTAATCCTAATTTATCAATAAAAATGACCTTTTTCTTTTGCCTTACCCATGTACAGCTAGAGAATTTCCCCCCCCACCCCCTTTCCCCACACAAACTTAAAATCCGAAAGACGCATTTAGGGACAGAAATGGGAAAGGAATACAAATCCTTAGGATCAACTTGCAAATAAAACCCTCAGCTGTAGGAAAGGGGAGAAAAGAGAAATATCCTGTGCAATTAAAATCATGATCTAATTGTGAAGAAGGGGGAGAGAGAGAGAGAGAGAGAAAGGAGAGCTATATTGCAGTATCCGTCAGTCCTCTCTGTCTCTCTTGCAAAATAGCGACTTAAGTTCTCTCTGTTCTGCAAGGGCTATAATAAAAATGATGGGGGGGGGAGGGATAATGGTGGTGGGGGTGTCTTTGAAGCTAGGCAGAAAGAAGAGGACCCAGAACGCTTGTACTTACCGATTTGCAGGAGAGATTTTAGCACATCTAAAATAAATAAATAAATAGAATTTTTAAAAAGCTCGAGTTTAAGGATTGCTGGTTTCTCTCTCTCTCTCTCTCTCTCTCTCTGTACTCCTGCTGAGGCTGAGGCAAAAGGAGAGGAGGGAAAAAAAAAAAGAAAAAAAAGCAAGCAAGCCTGAAACGTGCTGGGAATGCAATGAGCCCCTCAATGAGCTTCTTTAGGATGCAGAGCGGCTGTTTGGCACACTCAATGGAGGAGGGAGGAGAAGGGGGCTGCTGCAGGCTCCCAGCTCTGCTGCTGCTGCTTTCTCTGGGCACCAGCACATCGTTGGGAGGGAGGCTCAATCACAGCGGAGAATCTCGGGCTTCTCTCTCTTTCTCTCCGTGTGTGTGTGTGTGTGTGTGTGTGTGTGTGTTGTTGTTGTTGTTGCCCTGGATCAGGCTTTTCCACGTCATGAAAATGAGCTTCAAGAAGGGGAACAAATGAAGGGGGCGCGCTTGGCACCAGGTCGGGGGCGCGCATTTGGGAAGCCCTGACTGTACAGTTTTTTTTCCGGGGGGGGGGGGAGATGGGGGATGGGAAGGTGGGGTGGGGGAGGAGTGGGAAATAATCAGACTGGGGAAAGCCGAGAAGAACGAGGAAGGAAGGAGCAGCCGCCAGAAACGAGCCACGGTCCCCTCACCCCAACTCTCAAGGAAAAAGAGCCCCCGATTGCCAACTGCAAATTCCAGCAAGGCGCTCGTGCTGCGGGTAGATCATGGGGAGAAGTGTCTCTCTGGGCAGCTGCCCCCCAGACAGGGTCCTCTCCGCGCACAGACACTGCTGCAAAAAGCCAATTGATTAGTTTACGCAGAGCCGTAGGTAGCCGCTCTCCATCACACCTGGATGTCCCAACGTGAAAGCTCGGGAAGCCCCAGCCTGGGTGACTTGAACAAGGTGGCTCCTCTCCCCTCGCATTTCTTCGCTCTCTTTGATCCCTTTGCACCACGAGCGGCCCCCCCCCTTTTTTTTTTTATTGTTGTGCTGCAACTCAAGCTTTCAATCTTCCCCAGGATCCAACAACCTCCTGCTCGCTTCCAGCTTTAAAAGGAGGCAAAGCAAATCGCTGGGAAGAGACCCGGAATCACTTGGGTAACAACGGCACATTTTGCATTCTGTCACCGAGCAAGGCATCAAAAGCGAAGAGGAGGATTTAACTCCTTAACGGCCGCAAGATTTTTCGGTCTGGCTTTGGGCTTGTGTGTGTGTGTGCTCGAGAAGAAAATCATGCCCGATGCTGACTGGATCCGGGAAGAGAATACAACTCAGCTGACATCTTTACACGACAGAGGCAGCAAGAAGGTAATACAGTTTTGCTGAGAAACCGGGGCGAAGGAAAGTGACACTGTGTGGGCGGGAGTAGATTATTTGTTAGTGAAGAGCTACCAGCCGGTAACAGATCACAAGGAGGGAGCGCCTTGCAGCTGAGACTCCAGACTCTGTCCAAATTTACCCTTGGATGAAATTTAGCTGGCAAGATCGGTTGTCAGGGCGAAGTTCTTTTTAAGCAAGAGAGGGGCTATTGGGTCAGTAATGCACGTCTCAGTCCCTGTCTGTGCATTTCAAAGATTAAATTCTGATATATTTTTTCCAGCGCTGGGCAACGTAGCTAGGGCAGGGAGATGCAATCCACCCCGTACACTTTATTGCACAGGCTGGGTTGTTGGTTTTTTTCACTCCTTCAGTTCACACACCCATGACATGCACATACATGGGAGACACACTCTACATTCACCAGGGATGGGGCTCGCTCCCTAACTTGAAATGGGCATGGCATTCTGCCCTCCACCTCTGCTGGGAGTTGCAAGCGAGCCTCCAAGCAAGTGGCGAATCTACCATCCCTTCTGGAAGCCACGAGCCCCTGGGTGCAGAGAGTCACAGCAGCCTTAAACCAAACCTTTAACATTGTTATTCTAGGTTTCAGAGTAACAGCCGTGTTAGTCTGTATTCGCAAAAAGAAAAGGAGTACTTGTGGCACCTTAGAGACTAACCAATTTATTTGAGCATGAGCTTTCGTGAGCTACAGCTCACTTCAGCTGTAGCTCACGAAAGCTCATGCTCAAATAAATTGGTTAGTCTCTAAGGTGCCACAAGTACTCCTTTTCTTATTGTTATTCTAACAAGTCCCCCTCTCCGCTCCAAATGTGTGGGTAGGTAAGCTTGCCGGAGAGAGGCTTGGCTGGAATCCTTGAAGAGGCAGCAGGTTGGTATAAAAAAGTTAGTAGGCAAGAAGCCCGGCTGTCAGGAGCACAGATCACTCACTGTCGACTCCCAAATAGGAGGCTAGTGCCCACTCTGCTAATAAGGCCAGGAGCTATCCATATTCCTTTACCACCTCCTCTCGCCCTGACCGCTCCCCATACCTGTCGGATCAGTAACATCCCCCATGTTATTTTAAACATCTCAAGCGCTCGTTAAACTTATTCAATATGGAAGCAGCACTACTTGCTAATTAAAACGCTGCATCATTTATTTGCAGGAGCAAAATCTGGAGCCGTCAGGCGAAATGCACTTGATACCTCTAAAAAGGTCGGGGGAGTGGGGGGGAGTGGGAAAGTGAAAACAGTTTTATTAGATCTCTAAAGAAATAAGAGGGAAGAAATACCGAAGCAGATTGTAGGAGAATGTCTGTTATTCTTGCCAGGGGTCTCTGTTTCGCAGCTGCCTTAGCGACGCACTGGGGTTTGAAATACATTCACAAAAGGTCTGTATTTTTGCCCACACCACGTTGCCATATCAATAGATCTTTTCACAGGCCGCTTGCAAGTACGGAACACTGCAAATCAGGCGAAGTTATCCTGCGCTAATGATTTTTATTAGGAAAGTAGCAAACGATCGCGGTTAGCACCGATCCATGTGGAGTGCTAAAAGCTTACCGAGATTTGCTCTGAAAGGGTAGGCGACGTCAGGCGAACTCTTTAAGATGTATTGCATCCCTAATGCCATAACCTTGTACTTTCACTCCCCCACCCCCACCCCCGGCCAGCAACGGCACCAAAGAAGGCTTGTAATCCGTTTAAGTGGTTCTCCCCTCAAGTTTTGCAGATGAATTGGGGAGCTGGGGGCGGGGCGGGCAGGGGGGGGATGGTGGTTGAATACAAATAGATAAGCATTGCATGGCGCCTACGGTATCACAGTACAGAGCGTTGTGAGCCAAATCTTCCCAGGTTCAATCGCTGTCGGGTCGAAGCTTCCAAGGACACCCCCTTTTTATTTTAAATCGGAGTCCTCTCGGATGCAGCAGTAAAGGATTTGGTCCCCAGGAGTTTAGCGGTGGGCTGCTCCTGCTGCATGTCTTTCCCCCCTCCTGATAGGATGTCACACAGTGCAATCCCTGCCTGGATCCGCCCTGAGTCCACTGGAGCTGGGATATCTCCCTTCAGCCCCACTGTATCCTTTACCCGTGTCCCGCGGGTGGGTGGCTCCAGCTGCTTTATCCCAGCACCGACCCGGCGGCGAAATGGCACAGAGGGGGGAAGGAGGAGGGGAGGACAATCCCTAGGGTTCTAGATGCTAAAAGTCTGCAATTTCGATGTAGGGTACTGCAGTCAAATCACAAGGCTAAGGATGGCAATCAACCAGCGTGGGGAGCAGCGTGTCAGGTAACAACTCCGCGCTGCTTGGCTAGGGGGATCTTCAAGGAGGGAGGGGAGATTCCTTAGAAGAGAGACAGAGGCGCCTTCCCAGACAGACCTGCTTCAAAAGTGCTACTTAACGGCCACGAATTAACCGAAAAGGGGATTCGATGTTATTTATCAGCGGCTGTGACTAGCCTGTGCTAGAGAGATTGTTATGAAAAGGAGAACTTCTCGTCTGGGATCGGAATCATACTTACCAGATCCGTGTTTAGCTCCTGTTCCAACGCAGTGAGAGCGACCTCTCTGATGAACTAGAAACAAGGATAACCACCCCCCCCCCCGCACAAGAATTTCAACCTTACCTCCCCCTCAATACAGGGAAATGGAAATCGCCCAGAGGTCATTTCATAAACATCTCAGCCCAAGCAAAGAAAGGCAGAAATGCTTTTATGTTTCTGCTTGTTTGGTCGACATACAACCTGCTCAGCACAAGATCCGTGTTCAGGGATTGGCAGGAGAATATGGCAGAGCGATGTAGCCTAGACTGGGACCTTCCCTTATCCCTTTTTAGTATTTTGATTTTGACTGGTAAATGAGCTGCTTCCTTGCAAAAATCGAACCCAGTCCTAGGGCTATAGACTCAGGTAAAGAGCATCTGATCTGATTTGTGTGGAGGTTGACTGATATCTATTTGCAGCGTATTCTTTCACCTTAGCTGCAGCAGGTAAAATGCCCCCTTGTTAAAAAAACAAAAACAAAAAACAAAAAAACAAAAGAAGAAGCCGTGGACAACTTTTATGACAAATTAGAGAAGGGTACTTGAACAATGATTGCACCTTTTTGAAAAGTACCATTGCAACATTACATTTCCACTGTATGCGACCATTTCCCCCACTGCAGTCATTCTAATGCAGTCATTTAGTGCTTCATTCAATCTGCAGTGTAAACCAACTCGTTCCCTTTTTAATAGATCCTCTACATAAATGACAATGGTTGGGAAAAAGAGGGAGCTTTCTACCAAGCTTTCTCCGCCTGACTAGAAAGAAATATTCCGAGGTTTAATAGTCTCCTCTCCCTCCAGCAAGCTGTGGCCAGGGTGAACGCAATAAACAGTGCAAGGACAAGGGAAACTCATAGCTGCTGTAACTATTATATACAAGATCATCTGTCTAGTTTTCTCTATATTTTGGAAAACCAGCATGCAGCTTAGGCTTTGCAAGAATTGTGTAGATCTTTATTTAGCAGTAATTTAGGAACAACCATAAGCACATGCAGTGTTTCAGGGTCTTTGTGGATTTCTGTTTAGTAATCACTTATAACCACCCGTGTGGTATGCATCTTACACAGGCACCGTCTGCATAGAGAGGACATAGAGTGGGAGCAGTACTGAGAAGAGATTCATCAGGCCAAGTGAACATGCTGTATCCCAAGTGGGAGGAGGTGAAAAAAGACACAAGTGGGCTGCGAAGCTTATTAATTTGTGAAGCAAATTCCACATGTAAAAGTGCTTGGGAAAGATATCAGGTGGAAAGCTTTGGAGACTGGAGTTCTCTGATTATCCACAGACCAGGTACCATAGGGACAGTGCAAGCTTCCCTAAGCCATGCAGTGTGCTTCAACATTCTCCTGGAGGGACCTACCTCTGGGGATAAGAGCACACTTTATTCTCCATGTCCACTCAGTTTTTGGGTTCTCTCCTGAGAATGCTAACACAGGTGTCAGTTAGTGCCAACTGCCATGGTGATTTTAAGCTGCGGTCATCTTTCCATTAGGAGTTCAGGGCCAGATCCCTCTCCCATTGAAATATAGTCGCATGACTTTTAATGAGTTCAGCTACAGGAGAAATTCCTAGATGGAGACCACCAGTGCTTTTCCCAGGCCACAAAACAGCAACCACATGTTAATGTCATTAGTGACTATAGACTGGGCTAAATTCAAACCAGTGAGGAAGAGGTAAAAGGATTCAAATCCCATTACTAGTCCATTACTGAGCCATCCATTTGCCCTGTAAGATACCACTTTGTCTGTTCTGTTAAGAAAAATGTAGTTAAAATAGATTCTGTTTCCTCAGAGGGGAAAACTGGCTTTAGGGTCATGTATGTATGGATAGTTTAGTCTGAGGAATTCTAGTGAAGATGTTGAAAAAGAAGAACCACAATACAGTATGTTTTTGGCATAACATGTTCATTCAATACTTTGTATGGTATAAACCTGCTTTTTCAACATTATTTAGTTCATTTATCAGATGGAATTTAGCCGATGGGATTTATCCACACTACTGCGGGAAAGAACATTTATTCCAGAAGCTGAGACAAACTGGTCTAATCCTAATTTAGAAACCAAGATCTCCTTGCTACTATACCAACATGTCAAATCAATTTCAAGTGGAAATGAACTGTGCTACTGGTGGTGGGACATATATGGTCAGACACAAAGGACTGAATCCTCCAGTCCCGAACCCACTGAAGTCAGTGTAAATATTCCCACTGACTTCAAGGTGAGAAAAACTGGACCTTATGGACCCAATTCAACTTCCACTGAAATTAAAGGGAATCTTTCTACTGATTTCAATAGGAGTTGGGTAAAGCCCTAAATTAAGATTATTTCAGCCTTGTTCAACTGAAGGCTCTCTTTGCACTTTGCACTCTACAGTACAGATATCTAGGTTGACATTTCATTTATAAATCCAAACACAGATTAGTTTAATTATATAAATATTTATGA